GTACTTGTGACACTGTAATGACAATAAAAAGCGGGGAAAAAAGGTTTATTTGTGGATACTTCAGAAAAAAATCTGATGCAGGTTTCTGATTAGTTTTTACCCTCCACTGTTGCTGCATAAATGCTTGGTGTAAAGGATTAATTCAGTCTTGCAGCAATCAATCTAGTCTACTGTTGCTACATAATCATTCAAAAGGAGCCAATTAAACAAAGTTAATAACTTGATGCAATCAGCTGGGTTTCCTTAAATATTAAACAACTTTTTACCAATCAGGAGGATTTGATTGAAAATTCTCTCTGAAGTGCCTTCATGTGGAGAGTGGGAGTGTGTGAGGGAGAATGCCATGGTTCTACACCCTGTATGCAGTGTAGGACCATGTGTCCCTAATTCCCTTGATACTGTCATTCATGTCAATCATGTCTAAAGTTTATGGTCAACCTCAAAGAGCCATGAAATCACTATCCAGTCTATGTTTGACCTTTACGTTCCCTTGGCAACTTTATGCTCTCTGTCCGACATCATTTTTCAGAGGCCTCAAGGCTGAATTTGTATGACATAAAGGAAAACTAGGTGCAGCCGTGATAAAAATTTTCCGACAATCATCATGGAAAAAAAAACAATATTATTTTTTCTGTTACTTTGATTCTTTAATTTGACCAGTTTTGTTTTCAGTTTTTGCTTCAGCTCTTTACAGACATGGAGGAAACTGTCAATCTGATAAGAGCTGCATAACTCAAATTGCATAAATTGTAGTAATTGTAAGGTATGCAACAGTTACAATAATGATTTTCTTTGCAATTTATTACTTAACCAAAATGTGTGCATGATATTCAATATATAAAGAAACATGCATCTTTTTTTCCACTTGGCTGCTTGGACTAGTACCAAGGTAATAATGTGAGTTTCCTTAAATCTGTGATTGTCATGATGTCCCGATTATGATTTCAGGTTCTGTTGCAAGTTTCCCTTTGAGTTTTCAGGTACACTTCTTCATTCATGTCATCATGAGTTTCATGTCATCAGTTTCAATTCCATTTAATGTCATATGAGCTATTTTCTAGTTAAATTTAGGCATTATTTTATTTCTGACTTACTCTCTGTCGGCCCCCTGTGCCAGTGTCCTTTTCCCAAGCTCCCTTTGTCGTGGAATGTCCTCCCAATGACTTAAAAATTTATGTTAAGTCTTGTAAAAATTCAAAGTTCTTAAAAAGTAGTTGAAAAGTCTTCAAACAATGATCAAAAATCATGCAGAAGCAGATGGGTCGCAGTCCAGAGTGGTTTATTGCAAAAATACAAGTCCACCACATGAGATGTTCACCGGTCAACATCTAACTTTCATAGAGAAACAGTCCTGCTTATATTCACTCCTGGAGCTCGGGGCTCCTCCCCAAGCTCCTCCTATTTTGCATATTCTTAGGCACTATTTTCCACGGGTATTTCCAATTTCTTTTAACTTACCGGTGGAAAACCCACCTCAAAGCATATTTTTTATATATTTTAATCAAGGCCTTTCTTTAATCAAAGCCTTGTCCTTTTGCAGGTCATGGTGACATCCCTTTGCAGGTCATGGTGACATGACAGTTACATCAAAAACTCAGCATAACCTTGATCATCAATATGTCAAAACAACTTTTCATCCAGTATAACTTGTTTCATAACATTTCATTAAAACATTCAGCATAACTTTGATGCTCAAAATTTCATTAAAACATTACTTTGTTGTTGACTATCACACAGCGCGGTATAGCTTTGTTGTATAACTTTGATATGACAACACAATATATCACACTTTAGCACAGCTTTGTTGTCCAACCTTGATATGTCAAAATAATACATTCTCAATGCGTATGACTCATTAAAAGGCCTCATCTTTGGGCTCTCTACACTGCAACCTCACAGCATCTAAGCCTTGGATTCTTTCCAACACCTCTCTTTATCCCTTCCAGCACCTCTCTGTGTCCCTTCTAAT